CCTCGTGTTCAGTTCTAGAAAGTCTCTAATTCAATAATCCTGTTTGTTTTTTTAATACAAGAATCCACTGACTGTATTTGCTGATACCAAAAGCCTAAATGAATTGGTTGGTATCCGTTCTCAGAAGATTGGATAAGATATTTAGACTGTACCTTATCCAGGTTCTCCAGCTGCTCCACTGTGGTCGGCTTTGTCTGCATTGATGATAAAAAACCAGAGGATCATCACCAGCGTCCCAGCATGTCTACCTTTGAGCCTCTTTGTACAACTCATAGCCCTGATCAGTTTAATAATATAGGCTAACTGAGAAAATGATCTGGTAGTGAGAAATTCAGCCCAGATACTGTAAAAACACACTCAAGTGCATACAGCTAAAAGTGACATTTGATCGCACAATTATGTAGCTGCAAAAACCAAGGTTCACCTGTTTCTCATTCTCGTACGCTGGCACTCTGACATATATGAGGTATGTCCAAAAATAGAGCCCGAGTTTCATCAAGCTTGAGCGCACAGGCCAGTGTGCTCGTAGCTATTATAACCTGATTGTCTCACAAGAGAGGATCAAGACTAAATGTACTGATTTGTGAGGTACAAAAATTAGGTTAGCAACAATAGGAAGACTACTTTCTCTCAAATATCTGGCTGGCTAAGCACAGACTCACCCTTATCACTTTATTTCAACCCTATTTGCAGGTACTTTTATTTGATTTACAGCTAATTTAATAATTTGTTTGACCATTAATTATTTTAGATTGAACCACTATGGTACAAGCTCACACTTAAACATTTATTTTCTTATTATATCTTCTCTTATTTACTTACCCTCCATCTGGAAATCAACGCCCCCATGTCTGTAGCTATCAGAGTCCTCCCTCTGATTTCTTGGGTTCACTATGAAACAGAAAGGCTCATTAACAAGCTTTCGGCACATACTTGTAATTCATGGAGCAGACGATAAACAGACCATTTAACCCTGCCGGTGTGTTGTTTACTCACTTACAACATCACAGGACTTATAAAGCTGCCTACAGAATCAAAAACAATGGTTACGGTTGTTGATGTGGATTAACTTATGCAATCTTCTCCTATAGCTTCTTACACACAAAGTACAGCTCATGTGAGGCTGCAAAGTGTGGAGTTTTTTTTTTTTCTTGAAACAATTTCTGGTGTAGTTACAAGTTAAATAAGAAATCTTTGTTTTATATCAAGGTTTAACTTTGTATGCTTACAGGACACATACAGTTATATATGTTAATAGTCACAAAGGATCTAAGTTCACAGGTGATATCAGTGCTAGTCCAGGCAGTAACCGGTGAGAAAAGTCCACTGTATTTCATGATAAGCATGTCCATAACCCCATTGGTAAACAGACAGCAGCATACACTGTGGATAACATCCTTATAGTGTGATAGCTTGTTCATAAAACTTGCAGTCTAAAAGTTCATTGAAAACTTCCTGTGTAAATTATTCGAGGTATGTGCCCTTTATCAACAACATTTTCTTTGTATGCCGAAATTATATAAAGTAACGCTGGCACCCTCCCGAGTACAAAGGCTCCATTTATAGCTATCAGATGCTTCTCCATTAATAAGATAGCTTCATTTTTTAATGGGGCAATCCTAATGGCAGCAAAGCAACACAACCAGCTAACGTAATGGAGCTCGAGATAACCGTTACCCAGCTCATTAAAACACTGATAATTTATCACTGCAGCACCGTTAGGTATCATTATGTAGAAAAGCGTAGAACTGTTGGTTTATATCTTTAGACTGAGTTAAATTAAATCGTAGAACACAACACCAAGCTAGCTAACGCCAGAGCCCGGCACAGTCATCACTAGCCAGCGCATTACATCGCAGTTTGCCGTCGGAACTGCTATTAGCATATTCTTGTCTAATAATACGTACATTGGGCGATGTTCCTGCTCTCTTTTCAGTCAAAAGGCGCTGAAATACGGCACACAGCACGCTTGACCGGTACGCTTGAAGCGACGCCGTTACGGCCAACCCCACGACAGTTTGGCGCGGCGTAAATAAAACGTTAACCTGTCTGATGACGTAATCCGAAGGCAAAGTGCTCGCTTTTTCCCGTGAGCCTTTGCGGTGTAGTTTTTATTTTTTCCGTCTTCGTCAGAAGTCTTAGTTGAACGTTACCTGCCCTTATTTTTCGCCATTTTGGTGATATAATTTATAGGTTGTGAAAAATTATGGTCATGTATGGGTTCATTGCATGGTGTACACGGTAAATATTACAGCTCTGTTTATCACTGAATATGATATAATATCAGGATAACGTCCTGAGAACAATACAATCACACATTTACATATTGATATGATTTTAAATAAAACAAACACAGTCCAAAATTCATTCAAGTATGAAATCAGCGTTGTTTTTTCTACAGAAACTGATGTATATATATATATATATATATATATATATATATATTTTAACCCTTCATTTATATATATATATATATATATAAATGAAGGGTTAAAAGGTGAAAACA